AGTAGCTACCAGCTTTGCCTGGATCAAGCTCCGGTAAAGACCTAAGAGCGGGGCACACTTTCCCTGGCTTTGTTTGTATCATTACATATGCAGACCTTTTATTCTCTACACAGATAGTCAAAAATGCAGTTTCAGTGATTACAGCCTGTCATCTGATAGTAACCTGGAACCAAAGCACAGACAGAGCTTATTTGGGGGGACATCAAGCATATTCGAGATAATTTTAGGTACTCTGAATTTCTCCCATAAGCTCAGATTTGTGAAACTGACCACATGAAAGATGTGCCCCAGGATGAAAGTGTTAATCATCAATTTTTTTACGCTTGCAATTCTGAATGCACACCCACGCCGCATGCTCCAAGTTAAATGCTGAATGAAAATTCAGAATTTTTTTTCAAAAACCACCTTTCACCACCATGGAAGGAGAGGTTAAAGCAACCAGTCACTAGCAACACTTTAAATTTGCTTTCTTTCACATAGCTAAGTGTCCAGACTGTCCTTTTGATCATGTAGTTTCCAGGAAAATGGGGAAAGGAGGGTGGATAGTAAAAATTGCTCTGGGACATCTTAAATGTTCTTACATGAATGACAAGAAAGTTCATTCCAATCGGTGTACTGATAGGTAACTGATTACACCACACTAAACTTGGGCGTTTTTCAGAACAGAAGGCTGAATCTATCTGAAAGGGTTTTTGTTTTGTTTGGCTGCATAAAGTCATCAGCATTCCCTGTTCCACTTCCATATAAACAACAACATAATCTTTTATTCAGTGAAAACAGGTCCATAACTAAGGGGAGATGCTCAGCGCTTCACTCTGGGGCGGTTCTTTTTCTCATTTCAGCCACCCTTTCCTATAACCTTTCTGCCACGGGCAACAGCAACTTCCTCTATTTCCAAAAAGTCCCGTTATGTAGTTATGCTCTAATTTCATCAGCTCTGTAATGTGAACACTGTTTAGAAGAAAGCATAAGATTTTATTCCTTAACTGAATCAGAGAAACCAATGTAAAGACTGGTTAAACAGTCTTTATTTTCACCCTGGCCGGTGCGGCCCAGTGGTTAGAGCCTCAGCCTGCTCAGCGCAGGGTTTGATTCCAGGTCAAGGGCACCTACCTGGATTGCAGGTTCCTTCCCCACCCCACCCCTGTGTGTCTTTCACATCCATGTTTTTCTCTCCCCCATGTTCCTCACACACACACATACACACCCTGTCCACTCTCTCTGAAAAGCAATGGAAAAAATATCCTCACGTGAATATTAACAAAAGAAAAAAAGATTATTTTCAAACAAGACACTTATGGGGGGGGGGCTGCATGATTTCTCCCCCCATCCCTAAGAGTAAGACAGCTGACTTACAAATATTTCTTTCACATTTTTCTAAGAAGGCCATAAAGGATGTCCGTCAGGACTGAAGCTGTGCGTGCAAACACACAGGCAGCTAGAGGGAGAGGCAGCTGACATCAATCACGGATCCTCAGAGTCTGACACCTCCAAAAGTACACCGCCGAGCTTATCCATCTAAAGTGTTTCCAACGTCAGCCTCCTGGATGTAATCTAATTAGGGTACAAAACATATCAGAATGAGAGAGAAGGGGTTCACTCTGAGGACGGAAAGAGAGAAGAAATCAAAAAAAAATTTTTTTTAACTTTCTGCTGCAGAGCTTAAGAATGTAAAATACACAAAATGTTAACCCTCTCAAGTAACATTTTATATCCTGTAGGAGGCACTTACATTCTCAGTGATAAGCGAAAAATACCAAATGCTTAATGACTAGGCGTGAGATGTGCTTTAGAATAAGGTGTTGGGAGGGGCGGGGTATGGAAAAGGGAAGACCGAGCTGATCGCCGTAGCCGGGCAGGGGGTCCCCAGAGGTCCATTCCACTTTCCTATTTTCATACACTTCTCCCTAACAGAGTATTTTTTAAGAGACGTACGAAGAGAGCGTACAATGCATGCGCTGTATCATGTTTAATAACACCAGCTCTGGGAAGTGGAAACACCGCTTGAAACACTAACTGCAGCGCGGGTCCCGCCCCTGCCGTACTTTCCCGTCGCGTTCCAGGTCCGCGGGGATAAAACCAAGCCAGGGCTGATCCCCAAACCCGCCCACATCACAGCTCCCCTGGATCCTCAATAGCAGCCGGGAACTCAAAATTAACTGAGAAGCTGGTGCGATTCTGAGAAACAAAATAACTAACAAGAGATTTCGGTTAAAACCTCCCAAGAAGGACGCCGATCCAACAGCAGAAGCATTTGTATCCCTCGTGTCAAGCACGTAAACGCCTCCCGGATGATGGCAAGCGAAGGGGGGGAGGGGTCCCCAAACGCACTCGCGCCCGCACG